TTATACATTCATTGGTTGATTCTTGTATGTGCCCTGACAGGGGATCAAACCTGCAGCCTTGGTGTATGGGGACAATGCTCTAACCAACTAAGCTACCCAGTCAGAGTGACACAGCATTTTTAAATGGGAAACTTTCAGTGATCTTCCTACGTAGGCATCCACAATCTTTAAAGAAATGTCCCTCTGTGCCCAATTTGGAATCAAGTATCTGTATTCCAAGTGTGTTTGAAATAAATATGCAGAAGGTACTAAACTAATCTGAGATCTGCTGACCAAATGAAAGTGGAAGTTTTGAAGTGAGTGCATCATCAACACGTTGCTTTATAGCAATTTCTAAGCCTCTAGCATCGCTGCAATTCCCATCACCAAGTATACTGCTGATATCTAGTTGTTATAAAGTGACTCAGCAACGCTCCCTGTACTCCAAGCACGTCCCATTTTTTCAGTTTGTCACTTGAGGACATACTACCTACTCTATTAACAATATCTGCAGGACAGTAGACATAGAAATTCTGCCTTCATCAGTCACATAGACTCGGTTCTTCATTGGCTTCAAATACAGACAGAGAATGTAGATTAAGACGCAATCGTGTCCTAGCTGGTTTGCATCAGTGGTTAGAGCGTCGATCCTCAGACTGAAGGGTCCCAGGTTCAATTCTGGCCAAGGGCATGTACCTTGGTTGCAAGTACCTTGATCCCTGGCCCTGGGTGGGGTGTGTGCAGGAGGCAACCAATTGATGTGTCTTTCACATTAAAGTTTCTTTCTCCCTCCCTTCACTCTCGCTGAAAAGCAATGGAAAAAATATCCTCAGGTGAGGATTATTTAAAAAAAAGACATAATAATGACTTAATCTGGGCTGATCCTTTAAGCAACTGGTTCACATAGAGGTAGATGTTGATATCCTGTTTGAGAGTGAGTAAATTAGAAGCTGGTTCTGTACAAAATACTGATTTTTCCATCAGAGCAGGGTTTCTGCAGTAGTGTAGAAGTTGTCTATAAAAGTACCTAAGGAGAGCCCAGCCAGTGTTGCTCAGTAGTTGAGCATCAACCCATGCACCAAGAGGTGACTGGTCCAATTCCCGGTCAGGGCACATGCCAAGGTTTTGGGCTCGATCCCCAGTAGGGGCATGTAGGAGGCAGCCGATCAATGTTTCTTTCTCATTGCTGTTCCTATCTCTCTCCCTTCTCCCTTTCTAAAAATCAATTTTAAAAAAACATACATTTAAAAAAAAAGTACCTAAGGAGAAACCTTCTTATAACAATAGCATGAGTGTCAGGCAACACTTCCATTTGGCTAAATCACTGGCTGTAATTGTATTCACCTGTGCCTATAGCTACACCTTCTGGCCACCCGCTCTTTTAATTATAGAAGCAGCCAATGAATTGGTACATTTCAGATATTCTGAATGACTAGGAATTAGTTGACTGAATGTTTAACATTCTGGGAAATCTTTGCATACTGCATGTGTCTCCCTTCCTAATGTACTTTTGAAACATACGCTGGTTCTGGTGAAGCAATAGGTTCTGCAGGGATAAGAGAAGGACCTGGTGTTTATTCTAAATTTTTTGGTTCAGGTTCACCCAATTTTAGAAATTCATTAAGAACTAATTTTGCTGCACTGGATCTAGACTCTTTATTTTGTCCCAATCCAGTCTTGTATTGAGTACCATCCACCACAGACAGCACAAAAAGCAAAATATGGTCCTATAACATTACCTGTTGTTACAGTTTCCTTAAGGTCAAGTTGAACCTGCTGCATTTGTGCAAACTGGTGCAAGGCTTACACATTTGTCTCTCCATGTTTGTATTTCATTATAAACTCCTAGCTATTTTGCTTTTGGAGGAAGAACAGGATTTGAAATAGATGAAAGGCCTTTGGAAAGCAATGGTTCTGGAAAATTACCCGTCACTCGTATAACCTTGGATGCCATATTCAACAGGCTGTAACTTTCCAAGGAATGTGCTGTGGGTGTAGTTACCATCTGGGCTGATGGCTGAACTGGCAAGTCCTTTTTCAGTATCTGAGCAAAACTAGGGACCTGGGAGCTCTGAAACTAGTCATTGTTGGCAGACATTCCTCACCAAAATCAGCCTTCCTACCCTGTCGGCAGAACCCCACAGGCAGGTAGCTCAGGCCAGGCCATAGGCTGCAGGGCTTGCCAGTAGACTATTGTTTCAGAATACACATTCTTTTAAATACACCTGGAACATTTTCATCAAGACGGTCCCTATGTGCCCTGGCTGGTGTGGCTCAGTTGGTTAGAGCATCATCCTGTACACGAAAAGGTGGTGGGTTCAATTCTGAGTCAGGGCACATGCCCAGGCTGTGGGTTCCATCCTGGTCAGGGCATGTACGGGAGGCAACTCTCCCTTCTTCTCTCTCTAAAATCAATTTTAAAAAAAAACCATATCCTGCACAGACGGGTGTGGCTAAGTGGTTGAGAGCTGACCCAGGAACCAAGCAGTCACGGTTTGATTTCAGGTCAGGGCACAAGCGCAGGTTTCAGGCTCTTATCAATGTTCCTACCTCTCTATCCCTCTCCCTTCCTCTCTCTAAAAATCAACAAAAACATATTTAAAAAAACAAAACACAACATATCCTTAGGTGAGGATTTAAAAAAAAAAGGAATGAAAACATTTCCACAAAAGACTTGTACATAAATGTTCAAAGTATTTTCATTCATAATAGCCCAAAAAATTAAAGTGACCCAAATGTCCAAAAATAACAGAAAATTTTTAAAAATCATGTTTATTCACACAATGGAATACTACTTAGCAGCAAACAGGTATAAATACCAAAACAACATTAGTAAACCTCAAAAGCCATTTTGCTGAGAAAGCAGCCAGACACGAAAGAGTACACATTGTTTGGTTTCAGTTACATAAAGTTTTAAAACAGTCAAACTAACCTAGAGTGATTGAAACCAGAACCCAGAACAGTGTTTGCCCAGGGGTGGGGCAGGAGATGGGGAAAAAACATGAGGCTGGGGCGGTATGATTACAGGGGTGTATACACTTGTCAAAACTCATCAAACTGGGCACATACAGGAGTCAACCGGTAAACGATGAATGAATGGAACAACAGACTGATGTTTATTTTCTCTCTCCCCCTGCCCCTTCCTTTCTTTCTCTAAAATCAATTTTTTAAAAAAATGTATTTATTGGGTGCCTAAAACTCGCCGCACTGCCCCAGGTATTGATACAGGTATTGGATACTATGTTGAGCAAAAACACAGATATAAAAGAATGTAAATCCAGTGGGGAAAATAGAGAGTAATTGATGTTAATCAAATCAAGAAATAAATGTAAAATAACACCTGTGATTATCAATAATAGGTAACATATGCTGAGCATTTACTATGTATCAGGCACAGGCCTAGCACTTTAAATGTAATAATTTGTTTAATCCTCCCATTAAACTTAGGCAATAGGTATCAGATATCATTAATCCCATTTTACAGAATGAGAAAGGCAAAGTTTAGTATCTTGCCCAAAGTCACACAGCTAATAAGTGAAGGAACAGAAATTAAGGTCTCAAAACAAAGGGATTTAGCCTAGTAAGGGAAGAGAGGGAAGGCTTCTCTGAGGAAGTAACAACTGAGTTGAGGTTTGAAGACTATGTTAGCCAGTGAGAAAAACCACCTAGGCAGGAGGAAGAGGGAAAGCCATGATAGCCCTGGCCTGGTAGCTCAGTAGGTTAGAGCATTGTTCGGACATGCCAAAGTTAGAGGTTTGATCCCCGGTCAGGGCACATACAAGAATCAACCAATGAATGCATAAATAAGTGGGACAACAAGTCAATGTTTCTCTCTCTCCCTTCCCTCTCTCTCTAAAATCAACTTTTAAATTTTTTTAAATTAAGAAGAATGATCAAAGACCCAGTGGAAGGAAAGAGTATGGGATGTACCAGGAATTAATTTTTTTTTTAAATGGCTGAAAAGGAGAAGAGAACAAGCTGGGAATATGCTATGATGGAAATGGCAGGAGGAGGGTATGCTGAGTGGAAGTGAGTGATCCAGGCAAAAAATTACGGTGTCAGTGCGGATGGAGAGAACTAGATGGATTTAAGATACATATGTGGAAGTAAAATACATCTGACCTGGCGATGGACTGGACATTCAGGGTGATGCAGGAAGAATGATTCCTCAATTTCTGGCTGGCGTAACTTAACTGCACAACAGTGCAATTCATCCAAATAGAGAACACCAAGAGGCCCCGATTTAGGAAGATAAAGGATTTGCTTTGGGACATGTTGAATTTAAAATGCCTTTGAGATACCAGGCAGGCAGGTAGATTGTAAAGGTTTGTCTTTCATACTTAAAAGTCCTCCGGACAAAGAAATCTTAAGCAATTAACATGAGACTGTCTTGGGAGAAGAGGCCTAGAGCTGAGCCTTGAGTCTACACTTACAGAGAGGGTCCTGCAAATAAGATGGGGAGAGACCACACGAGCCAAAAAGAGTGTCACCGGCAGGAAGCGATGCTCAAAGGACTCAAACGCTAATGAAAACTCCCGTAGATTGAAAACTGGAAAGTGTCTGTTGGATTTAACGACTTGCAGGCCCTGTTAATTTCAGCCCGTTATTTCTATAGCGATCAAGGGGGTGACTGACTGGAGTGGGTTAAAGGCTTGATAGGAGGTAAGGGAACGAAACAGCTGGAAACAGACAACTCTGGAGAAGTTTAGCTGTGGGTGGAGGAAGCGCAGGACACTCAGTGGTCGTGGGGTGGGAGGTGGAGAGGGGGTATTACAGTTTATTTTGTTTCGTACTCTTAAGCAGGAAAACATAAGCACGTTTAAAAGACGATGGGAAAAATTCTTTCAAGAAAGAGTGATGGCCCCAGGGAATGACCCAGCGGTTCCCACCGTCCCCGCTACCTCGTCCTCCCGCGTTCTCTCCCCATCGACCCCAGCTCCTCTCCCCCTTCCCCACTACGCACAACCCCACGACCCAGAGCCACCCCAGCCCGCCGGCGCGGCTCGCAGGCGTCTCCTCACCGCAATGGCCCCTTCGCTCAATGACACCATGGCTCCGCCGCGCCAACTCCCGCGTTTTCGATCCTCCGAAGCCCCGGCTCCGCTCCTGGGGTCCGGCGCGCTCTAAAGCTATTGGCCCGGGGAGCTGCGTACGTCACTTCCGCCTGCCGACGTGCGCACTCCCCGGGGCGGGCCTAGGAACTAAACCGACACCGCATTGGCCGAGGCAGGGCGGGCAGCCCACGTGAGCCACCCGAGCCCGGATCCCCCGGAGGCGCGGCACGGCTGGGCCCCGGAGGCGGGGAGCTGCGGGCGCGCCAAGGCTGACGCGAACGCAGCTACGGGCCCTGCGAGACCAGTTTCCGGAGCTTTGCTTGCGGGCTCTCGGAATCATACCCGCTCGGCCTTTAGCGGGCGCACAGCCTTCCAGCCCGGAGCACAGCTGTAGAGCTGATAACCTGCAGCTAAACGTGGGAAAAGCAGCGACTCAATCCTGAGCTTAGCATGGTGAGGGTTTCTGAATGTAAGTAAGGCCCGGTTCCTGACCTCAGAGGAGAGCACAGTCTGTCGAGGGAGTTTCCACTCTAAGTAAGTAGCCCTAGTGAGGTAGATATGGTATGGGCCCCAGGAGAGACACAAGTGTGCCTGAATCACACAGGTGGGAAATCAGGGAAGGCTTCCCGGAGGAGGTGCCACTTGAACTGAGCCTTGAAGGATGTGTGGAAATTTGTCCTGTGGACTTCAAGTTAGTGGAGGGATGTCCCCGGAACAAAGAGTAGCTTATGCAAAAACTAGAGAGGTGAATAGCCTGGCAAGCTGGGGATTGCTCTGAGTAGGTCAGATAGTAGGTTACAGAGGAAAAGTGATACTGGAGCATTAGAAAGTAAGGCAAAGGTCAAATACTAAAGGGCTTGTACTGGACTTGCCTAAATTCTAGGAGGAATATTGATGAATTTAAGGCAGAGGAGTTAATCTGTCTCAATATGAAGGATGGGTTGAATTGGGGGATGAACTGAGACTAGTTATGACACTCTGCAAAGAATGCCAGATGAGATGGTAAGGACTTGAACTAAAGGAGATTGAAAGAAGAAAACTAAATTATGTAAGGAGATAGAAATATTTGTTGTCCAGCAGTGTGGCTCAGTGGTTGAGCTTCACCCTGTGAACCAGGAGGTCATGATTTTTTGTTTATTTGAATATATCTTTATTGATTTCAGAGAGAGATATAGAAACATCAGTGATGAGAGAGTCATTGATCAGCTGTCTCCTGCATGTCCCTGACCGAGAATCAAACCACTATCTCCTGGATCATAGGTCGATGCTCAACCGCTGAGCCACGCTGGTCAGGGAACATGGTTGGGTTGCCAGCCAGCCAGCCAGTAGGGGGCATGCAGGAGGCAGGGGATCAAGGACTCATCATTGATGTTTCTATCTCCCTCTCCCTTCCTCTCTCTGAAATCAATAAAGACTTTTTTTTTTAAAGTTGCTGGGGAGAGTTGAGAGAAAAAAATCTGGGATGTCCCTCAGGTTTCTGACTGAGCAACTGAGATAGATGGAGGTCTAAGGGGACAGGGATGTGACTGTCTAGTCACCTATCATGGTGCCTGGAACAGAGTAGCCTTTCAATAAATATTTCTGAGTGAAAGGACAGTTGAGTGAATTGGTGTGAGAGAATAAAGATACTTCTTCAGCATATAAACAGCTATTGAAAAAGATCACAAGAGCCTGGCCGTTGAGCATCGACCTAGGATCCAGGCTATAGCAGTTTGATTCCCGGTCAGGGCACATGCTCAGGTTGTGGCTCGATCCCCAGGCGGGGGTGATGCAGAAGGCATCCAATCAATGAATCTCTCATCACTGATGTTTCTCTCTCTCTCCCTCTCCCTTCTTCTCTCTGAAATCAATAAAGGCATATTTAAGGAAAAAAAGAAAAAGGTCACAAGAATAGCCTGGCCAGAGTGGCTCAGTTGGTTGAGTGTTGTCCTATGCACTGAAAGGGTTGCCAGTTCAGACTACGCAGAGGGCAACCAATCCATGTTTCTCTCTCACATCGATGTTTCTCTCTCTCTCCCACTTCCTCTCTCTATGCATGTCCTTGAGTGAGGATTGAAAGAAAAAGATCACAAAAATTGATTTGGTTGCTTCATGCTTGCTGGAATGAAATCTTGATTTTCTAGAACTATGCATTTGTAGAAATCTGAACTCCTTATTTTCTTATTTTATAGATCTAAAGTACCATGGATCTGCCTGTGGATGAGTGGAAATCATACATACTTCAGAAATGGTCTTTGCTCCCAAAGTCCACTCAGGTCACCATTTGTACAGCAGAGACTTTGAGCGATATCTTTCTTCACTCCTCTTCACTTCTTCAGTAAGTAAATGGAAGCTTTAACCAGGGAAATTTTGATCTGCAAAATGTCCCTGTTTGTCATTTGCTCTTACGTTATATCTCTTTTTGATGGAAGGGTTAAATTCAGATTTTTAATTATTGGGGCATTCAGCAGTTCTTGCTATTTCCAGTATTTCCTAACCTTCTATTATAGAAAAGGTAGGGATGCTATTTAGCTTTTTCAGTGTCAGTGTTATGTTTCAATAATCAGTGCCTTGCTGTAGTCACTTTACCATTTCCCAAAGGTTGTAGTGGAGATTTACTAGCTGCACATAGAAATTCATAAGTTCTCAAATTTGGAAAGGACCTTAGAGGTGTAACCTATGCATTTTTAAACTCTTTACTACACTTTTCAGTGAGAAATATTTTACATCACAACCTAGTACACATACATATATGCAGAAAACTGAAACAAGAGTTTCCCACAACTTCATTATCACCTATTTTGAGCCACAAATTCTCTAAAACTAATAAAAGACGTCAACCCAGAGATTCCAGAAGTTTAGCAAATCCCAAACAGTATAAACATAAATAAAATCACACCTAGGGACAGCAGACTCAAACTACCAAAAACTAAGGAAAGAAGAGGAAATCTTAAAAACAATCAAAGACTCCCAGCCGGTGTGGCTCAGTGGTTGAGTATCGACCTAGGATCCAGGAGAAGATGGGTTCGATTCCTGGTCAGGGCACATGCCTGGATTGTGGGCTCGATCCCCAGTAAGGGGCATGCAGAAGGCAGCTGAACAATGACTCTCTCAATCATTGATGTCTCTCTCTCCCTCTCCCTTCCTCTCTCTGAAATTAATAAAGACATTTTTTTAATTGTCTTAAAAACAATCAAAACAAAAAGACATGTTACCCATATGGCAGTAAAAATAAGACAATGGCTGATTTTTTCAATGAAACTATGGAAGCCAGGAGACAGTTAAATGGCACATTTAAAGCCCTGAAAGGAAAGCAAAGCAGAATAAAACTTGCCAATCTAGAACTCTATACCTAATGAAAATACCTTTCAAAACTGAATGCAAACTGAAACATTTAGAAGTAAGACGTAACAACAACAGTACAAAGGGAAAGATGGGTAAATGGAGTTACATTGTTGTAAGATTCTTGTGTTGTTTGGGAAATGGTAAAAGTACTAACTGGAGATAGCAAAAACTCGGATTCACTTTGTAACCTCTAGGATAACCATCAAAAAAATAATAAATAAATATACACACACACACACACATATATATATATAAAATTTATAATCAAGTCAGTTCTTCCTCTTTCCCCATATGATAGGCAGAATAATACATCCCCAGATGTCCATGTCCTAATTTCAGGAATTTGTGACTTAGGTTATATAGTAAAGGGGAATTAAGGTTGCTGATTAGCCAATTTAAGATAGGGAGAGTAGCCTGGATTATCCAGGTGAGCCCAGTATAATCACAAGTCCTTAAAAGCGGTAAAGGGAGGAAGAAGAGAAGAATCAGAGGAAGATGGGACTATGGAAGATCAGTCAGAGAGATGCAACACTGCTGTCTTTGAACCTAGAGAAAGGAAGCCGTAAGCCAAAGAATGTAGGCAGCCTCTAGAAACTGGAAAATGCAAGGAACACAGATTCTCCCCTAGAACCTCCAGAAAACAATGCACCCCTACCAACACCTTGATTTTAGCTCACTGAGATTCATGTTAGACTTCTGCCCTTCAAACTGTAAGATAGATTTTTGTTTATTTTAAGCCACTAATTTTGGGGTAATTTGTTACAGCAGCAACAAAAAGACAATACTCTTCTCTTTACTTCCCTAATCCAAATTACTATCGGTAGCTAGACCATTACAATAGCCTCCTAACCGGTTTCCCATATCCATCCTTGCCTCACTCCAAACTATTTTCTACACCACAACAGGAATCATTTTCTAAAAACACAAATCAATTTTATTGATCTCACTTAAAACCTTTCAGGAGCTTCTTTTGCTCTTATAATAAAGACTAAAATTCTTAACTTAATATAGATAGCCAGTAAAGACATTGCAATCTGGCCACTGCCTATCTCTCTGGCCTCCTCTTTCACCACACTCCCCTTTCAGACATATTGGCCTTCTTTCAATTCCTGATATGCATTATGCTTCTTCATGCCACATGTCCTTCACTTACTATATTTCTTCTGCCTGAAATTCTTTTCCTATCTCCCCTCTACTCCACCATGGCCTAAGAACTAATTAACTTCTGCTCATCCTTTAGGATCAGCCAAATCTTTCATCAGGATTCCCTGAATTCCAGCTGGATCATCTTCATTTTTTTATACATTTACAAAACTGCATACCTTTCCTTTTTATATTTGTGTAATCATTTGGTTAATGTCTGTCTTCACTACTAGACTATAAGCTCCGTAAGGGCAAGGACCTTGTCAGCATTTGTTTGTCTTTCTTTAGACAAGAGCAGTGCAGTGTCAAAAAAACAGGTACTCAAATACTGATTGAATGACAGTTTGATAACATGTATTAAGTTCTTGGATCAGTGACTGGCACATATTAATGCTAAATAGGACACATAAATGAAAGCCTCATCTACAGGCAGATACATAAACACAGACCTTTCAAGTTCAAGATGGACATTTTATCTTTGTGTCAGCAACTAACACAGTGTCTTTCTAGTTATTTCTATGTATTCTCATTCATTGTAGATAAATATGCACATATCTTTTTTTATTCTCTGTTAAATTATATCATGTGCTTTGTTCTGTGAGGGTTTTTCTAATATCACACCTTAATCTTTTTAGCAACCACAAAGTATTGCTATGTAATATGCCATGGTTTAGTTGTACTTTTCCCTGTTGATGGGCAATTAGTTATTTTATGTTGGTTTTTTTGTTTTTTACTGTTACCAGCACTGCTGCAGTGAACAGCCTTTATGTGTGTTTGTGTACATACATTTAGAACTTAACATAGGTTCTTAGAAGAGGAATTGTTGCATCAAGGGTTATGAGCATTTTAAATTGAATAAATACTGCAAAATTGTCTTCCAAAAAGGCTTTACCAGTTTGCCACAAATAGCATATGAAAATTACTTTCCCATGTTATCACCAACATTAGAAAGCAATAGTCTTTAATTTTGCCAACCATAAGGACAAAATAATCCTGTTTAATTTGCATTTTTTGAAATATTGCACCATTTCCAATATTACAGCCCATTTATATGTCCACTATGAATTGTTCATTTCTGTCCTTTGCCCATTTTTCTAGTGGGTTATCTGCCGTTCTCTTATTAATTTATAAATCTGACTGTATAATTCTTTGTTATATATGTTACTAATTTTTCTCTTAGTCTATTTATCTTTTTTACTTATGGTGTCTTGCAGTGTGTATATGTTTTAAATTGTGTGTATATATTTTAACTTTCACACAGCCATGTCTGTTATTTTCATTTTTATTCCTCGCCCAAGGGTATTTTTTTCCACTCTCAAAGAGAGTGAGGGGGTGAGAGAGAGAGGGAGAGAGAAAGAAAGAAACACCTATGTGAAAGACATATCGACTGGTTGCCTCCTGCACGTGCCCTGACCGAGGCCGGGGATCGAGCCTGCAGCTGAGGTATGTGTCCTTGAATGGAATCAAACCTGGGACCTTTCAGTCCATGGGTTGACACTCTAACCAGTGAGCCAAACCAGCTAGGGCTGTCATTTTCTTTTACAGTTTCTGGGTTATGTGTCTTACTTAGGATAGTCTATTATACTCAAAGATTATAAAAGTATCCTTTATTTTTTTTCTGACATTTTTTGTAGTTTTGTGGATTTTTTATGTTTTTATTAATTTTTAGAGCGAGAGGAAGGGAGAGGGATAGAGAGATAGAAACATCATTGAGAGAGAGAGAGACATCAATCGGCTGCTTCCTACACCCCCCACACGCCCCCCACTGGGGATCGAGCCTGCAACCCAGGCATGTGCCTTACCAGTAATCAAACCAGTGACCTCTTGGTTCATGGGTCTGTTCTCAACCACGGAGCCACACTACCAGGCCAAGCACACCTTTTGATTTAAATATTTTAATACTTTCCTAATTTTTCTTTCTGTGTCATTTATTTTGAGATTTTTTTCTATATTGTGTTTAAATATTAAAAAAATAATATTTTATATTAACTTACACATAGCAGAAACAAATAATGTTTTGTGAAATTCCAATATATACATACACAATATAAAAGAAGGGGGTGTGCAGGAGGCAGCCGATCAGCGACTCTCATCATTGATGTTTCTCTCTCTCCCTCCCTCTCCCTTCCTCTCTCTGAAATCAATAAAAATATTTTTTAATTAATAAATAAATAAAAGGTGTTTCTTACTGAGGGTCTTTATAAACAAAAATTTGAAAAATATTTTCTAAACATTCTTGTAGTTTAGATTCTGATTTCCTATTTGACCCAAGGGTTGCTAAAGATAATTTTTACTTCCCATGTTGTTCATACTCTGCTTCATTGCATTGTAGTCAGAGTGTAGTCTAAGTTATACTGTACTATTTCTCCTTACTGGAAAACGTGTGTTCTCTATTGCTAGTGTGTATATATGTTTGTGTATTTGTTAGATCAACCTTATTAATTTTATTATATAGAACATTTGCATACAGTACTTATTTTTTTTAAACTTTTCATGTTGAAATAATTTCAGATTTAGTTATAAAAATAATACAAAGATTTGCTGTGTAATCTTTAAGATTACCCAAACATTACCATTTCACTACTTTTACTTATTATTTGTTCACTTGTGTGTGTGTCCCCCCTCCCCCTTTCCTCCTCCTGTTCTCTGGCAGCCATTCAGCTCAGGTGTTTCCAGCAGTGTAAGCGGTGAATATGCCTTGGTGCAGTCTCTGTATTATGTCATTCTCTACACCCAGGCTTCTATGTGGTGTATCTGAGGAATGGTGCGTTGGCCAGTAATTATGAGACAGAGAATAAAAAATTAGCCCTCCAGCCTCTAAATAGGAATTCCAGCCCCTAAGTCACTGATACCACAAGATCCCCACCCCGTGCCACTCCCCTCACATTGCATAATAGAACCTCTTGTGCCCCAGTGATTTGCAGACCATGGGTTTCAAGTGCAATGGTTAAGAGCTTTCCTTGAAACAAATTTATGCTTTTTTTGTTTCTTTCTCCATAAAGACCTGAGGATGAAATGTTTTTAAAAAGGCTTTCTAGAGGTTACTTTGTGGGAAAGGACCCCAACATTCCCATTTTCTACAGAGAAGAAGGAAACAAAAAATTTCAAGAGAAGGATTATATGGGAGCCACAGTGCTGTACTCTAAGGTAAGACACTCCAGGCTCAGCGGGAGGGGCTACTTCAACAATTTAACAATATGTAGTTCTTCAAAAGATAGAGCATGCCCGGCTGGGCGTGGCTCAGCGGTTGAGCATCGACCTGTGATCCAGGAGATTAAGGTTTGATTCCCAGTCAGAGCACATGCCCCAGTTACGGGCTCGATCCCCAGTAAGGGGCATGCAGGACGCAGCTGGTCAATGACATNTCAAAAGATAGAGCATGCCCGGCTGGGCGTGGCTCAGCGGTTGAGCATCGACCTGTGATCCAGGAGATTAAGGTTTGATTCCCAGTCAGAGCACATGCCCCAGTTACGGGCTCGATCCCCAGTAAGGGGCATGCAGGAGGCAGCTGGTCAATGACATTCTCATCATTGATGTTTCTCTCTCTCTCCCCCTCTCCCTTCCTCACTCTGAAATCAACAAAGACATTTAAAAAAAAAAAAAAAGATAGAGCCTTAAAGACGAATGTGTAGCCAGTGGCAGCTTGCCTTGTCTATGATTTGTAGATTGGATTTGAAGAAGAAAACTGACAGAATTCTGCCATTGGCTATATTCTGAAACAAAGAGTTTCAGAATATATCGGACCCCTTACCCTACCTTGTTCATGTCGGTCAGCTTTCATTGACTTGTATGCCATTTTTTGTATAAATGATTGATAAGGCTATTGTTTGATTATCTCAATTTAGAGAGCAGCTAGATTTTTGGTTAGCCACACAGTGTTAGCTAACATACAAGCAGTATGACTTAGATGAAGTTAGAAAGGAAAATAAGCTCAATTGCCATGGCCCAGTAGAACTCCAGTTTGAAGGTTATCAACAAATATTTAAAATTACACTAACGATCAATGATCTAGATTTTGAGGAGGAATGCTGGCTTTTGTCAACCTATTGCTCTTGTCCTGCTTCCATAGTAGGAACTGGAACAAGATCCCTGAGAGACTTCCTTCCATAACTTTTTTTAAAAGAATCGTTTATTTTTTTAGAGAGAAACATCGATTTTAGAGCACAACACCCATCGACTGCCTCCTGCACATCCCCTGCTGGGGATCGAGCCCACAGCCCTGGTATATGCCTTGACTGAGAATCCAACCAGCAACCTTTGATGCACAGGGTGACGCCCAACAAACTGAACCAAACTGGCCAGGGCACTTTCATATAAAGATAAATATAGATTTAAAGCAAGATGTATCGCTCCCTTGTACCAGCTCTTTGATCTTATATATTACAAGAATAAGTGTAAATTTGAAAGTGTACCTCTACTGTGAATCTTTAACAGGCCTATGCTTAAAGTTTGGAATTATTTTTCCAACAAGCTGCTGCTGTAGGACCTACAGCAGCAGCTTCTATAACTGATAAAAAGCCCTGCTTTGTAATGTTATAACAGAGCATGTAGCTGAATAATGTGTTAGTGATTGCTGATTAAAACCCATTAGATGTAATGATCCACCGATAAATGGCTCAGTTCTTCTTCAGAGCTAATCTCTTCCACTTTATGCATGTGCATCATAAATATGATCCCATGGGAAGCTGTTCAAGAAAAACAAGTAAAATAAAAAGTAAAATCAGACAAAAAATGAAGGTTTGCTCTGGATGTGAAGAGCCGAGCCTTCCTATTTCATGCAGCTAGTATTTTGGTGATTATGGTACTTTTGCAATTTTTATAAAGCGATTTTCTTCCTTTTTTATAATAATAGTTGTTGGTTTTGTCTGATTGCAAGTGCAATATATGTTTACTTGGAAAATATAGAGAAGCATAAAGAATAAAAAGAAATCCCATAGCCAATGATAGGCACTGTTAACATTTTTGCTTATATCCATCCAGCCACTTTTTCCTCTGAAAATAACACTTTTCTTTTACAAAATGGGGATAATGCTGTACTTAACTGTTTTGTAACCTGCTTTTTTCCCTCAACAATTTATTGTGACCATTTTCTCATGTTATTAAATTTTCCACTGGAACATGATTTTTTACGGCTGGCTTAGTGTTCCATTACAGAGAACTGTACTTGATTTAACATCTAATGTTGGCAGATTGTTTGGTATCATAAAGCTGCAAGGAGTGTCTTTCTGTATAAATATTTGTACATATCTGCTTATTTCCTTAAGATTCAATTCCTAGAGGAACAATTGCTGGATCAGTTGAGTTTATTTTTTTAAGGCCTTTGGTACCTGATGCTGAATTGCTCTCCAGGAAAGAACTGGTTAACATCCTTTCTAGCACAGTAGGGGAATGTTCAGATCCCTATATCCTAAGCAATCCTGGTTATTATGGTTTTATTATTATTATTTTATCAACTTAGTTTTGAATAAAAAATGTGTTTATATAGTTAGAACTCAAAAAGTTCAAGATTATACAGTGTAGTCTGTTTCCTCTGTCCCCAGCCGCCTAGTTTCCCATACCCAGAAGATACAGCATTAAATGTATCTTTCTAGAGGTACTTTAAATAAATACAAATAATCTTCCACTCCTGCACACACACACTTTTTTTATTATTATTGATTTAGAGAGAGAGAGAGGAAGAGAGAGCGAGAGAAGCATCAATTTGTTGTTCCACTTATTTATGCAATCATGACTGCTTCTTGTATGTGCCCTGACCAGGGATCAAACCCACAACTTTGGGGTATGGGGACAATGCTCTAACCAACTGAGCTACCTGGCAAGGGCCTCACTCTTTTTATATAAATAACATTCTATATACACTCTTTAGCATTGCACTTTTGTCAATAATATCTTAAGATCGCTTTTGCATTTAATTGGTGTCCTATAGATGAATATTTATCATTTCTTCTCTTTTGCTATTTCAAACCATTCTGTGATGAGAAACTTTGCATGTATGTTACTTCGCACATATCTGTAGGATAAATGATTATATCTGTTGGATAAATTCAAGAAGAGCAATTGCTGGGTCAGTGGATTTATATAGTTAAATTGCCCTCTATAATCATAAGACCAATTTACGCCCCCACTAGCAACATTGAGAATATTCATCCCACCCCTTTGCCACCTCCATGTGCTATCAATTTATTTTTCTTTGCCAAACTGATAGGTAAAAAATGGCATCTCAGTAAAGTTTTAATTTGCATTTTGCTGATTATGAATGAGCTTGAGCATTTTTTCATACGTTTAAGAGCCATTTATATTTCCCATTAGAACTGTCCATATCATTTGCTTATTTTCCAATCGAATTATTGGTTGTCATCTTATCGATCTGTAGGAACTATTCCTAAAGTAATGAGCCCTTTGCCTGTCGTATAAGTTGCAGACATTTTTTCCAGTTCAATGTTTGTCTTTTGGTATTGCTTTTATTGGGTTTTGCTGTAAAGAAATTTATTATTTTTATGTGGTCAGATTTATTAACCTTTTATGACTTCTGAGTTTTGTATCTTAATTAGAAAGGTATTCCTCACTCCAGCATCACGTTAGACTATTTCTTTAGTTTCTACTGCTCTTATAGTTTCATTTTTTACACTAAGATTTTGATTCATTTGGAATTTATCCTAGTGAAAGTTTTATCGTATATAGAGAACCAATTTTATTTTTCCTCAGTGGCTACCTATTTTTCGCAGTACTTTCACTGAATAATCCCCATCTTTTCTCCCATCATTTGAGATGCCACCTTTATTATTATTAATCCTTAGTGGTAGAAAAACCATAGCCCTTCTCTGCTTTCATTCATATATTTGGCTATCTATATATGAATTACCCATTTGTTTCCCATATATCATTAGTGTTTCTTCTTTTGTGAATTTCTGTTTGTGCCACTGGCCCTTTGTTATGTGCAGGATTATGCTCCTCTGTTTTCATTTGCCTTCGGTATTGTTTGTGGCCGAAGAAGCTGTGTCTGATGCTGTTATCTTCAAAGTGCTTTGAATATTTATTTTTTTCACTTGCTCTTCACAGCTTTGCTCTAAGGTAGTTAACAATGACGCTGAAGCAGGTGAGGCACAAAGAAATCCAGTAAATTTCCTAATTCCATACAGTCTTTATCTGAAAAAATACTATTTAAAGATGCTAGTCCCCTGTTATCTTAAAAAATACTTTAAAGATGCTCGTCTCCATTTATACCTTTAACTGGTTCATTGTTTTGCAGGGAGTATCGCATTCGAGGCCAAACACTGAGGACATTTCATTGTGTTACGCCAATCGCTCGGCAGCCCTCTTCCGCCTGGGTCAGTACGAAGTGAGTATCAGGATGCCTGTGTGATGGGAGAGGATCTGGAAGAGGTGGGCTGGAGGACTAGACCTTCATCTCTGCTTCTGCCTTAGAACACTAAAATTCAGCCAGCCTCAATTGATTGAATTGGAAGCACATTGACCTCTCCCCAAACTTGTTCTTTCTCCTGATTTATTGTACCCATCAGAGATGATTATGTGGGGTGACTATGTTGTTTGATAAGAGATCATGGCACATTCCACAGGGCATTGGACTATATCCAGTGGGTCAGCAGTTCTCAGTGTTGAGATCAGCTATGAGATAAGTTGCTAATAATACTTCAGGTTCCAAGTGTTTGCAAACTCTTTACTTGTTTGATGTGTTCTTTTAATAAGTAGAGCATATTCAAGGCGATCCCTGCAATAATATAGCTCACATTTAATATGCCTTTTGAGTGGGAAAGTAAAAGTGCCTATGTATGTCTGTGAGCATTCCCTACCTAAAGTCTAAGGACAAGCTCTAAATACCATTTTGGTCCATCCATTTCAGAATTCCACAGAAATTTAAATTATGCTTTAGAAGTAAGAATTATGTCAGTAATCACAAGTTCACACTTATTGCCCTTTGGACTCAAAAAAGAAGAGCAAGACTCCGACTCTAGGTCCTAAGCAAGAAAGTCCTGGACTACTGAAGACGGTGATCAGAAGAACTTGTGAAACATTTAACCCTGTTTACTCTGTATTGGTTATTTCTATATCCCTTCTTATCATAACGATTACCATATATTGAGCACATGCAATGTTCCAGGCACTCTTTTCAGTACTTTCAGTACCTTATTTTTTTATTTTTTTTTATCTTTATTGTTGAAAGGATTACCGATGTCCCCTTTTTTTCCCCATTGACCCCCTCCACCTTACACCCACCCCCCGCCACAGGCCCTCACCACACTATTGTCTGTGTCCATGAGTTGTGCATTTATGCATATAAATTCTTTGATTAATCTCTCCACCCACCCACCCTCATATTACCTTTTTATCATTATTTCAACCCTATGAGAGAGAGATTATTATCCCTGTCTTTCAAATGAGAAAACTAAGCCTCTGAGAAATTAAGTCACTTATACAAGGTCATACAGCTGGTAAGAGGCAGAGTCCGTGTTGGAATGCAGGCCCCGCCTCTTCACCACCATACTGCTTCTATCCATAAGACTGTTTTCCTTAAAAAACAGAAATATGTAATAAGATAGTTAAATATAATCTCTTTAGCACAGATTTCTAATCACTCAATAGAAAGATCACATGGTAGAATATGATTTTAAGAAATAAGCATGTGATTGTAGTTGCTCCATTTTAATTTTTTTTTTTTTAAATCCTCACCCGAGGATATTTTCTCCATTGCTTTTCAGAGAGAGTGGAGGAGGGAGAGCAAGAGACGGAGAGTGAAACATCAATGTGAGAGAGACACATCGATTGGTTGCCTCCTGCCACAACCAAGGTATGTGCCCTTGGCCAGAATTGAACCCGGGACCCTTCAGTCCACGGGCCGACGCTCTAACCGCTGAGCCAAACTGGCTAAGACTAGTTGTTCCACTTGAAATAATCTTCAATTTTCCTATAGATTTTTGTTAAGACTTTCAGTAGATGTTGAAGAGCAGGGACCAAGGATCATTTTGGGATTTCCTTTCTGTTTTCAGGCATGTCTTAAAGACATCACCAGGGCACAGATGCATGGGTATCCAGAAAGATTGCAACCCAAGATGATGTTGCGCAAGGCACAGTGTCTGGTGACGCTGGGGAGACTGCAGGAGGCAAGCCAGATCGTCAGTGATCTTGAAAGTGATTTCACTGCCAAACAAGCCCTAGCAGCTTCCCAGTTTCAAATTCCGCAGAGTACCCTCTGTCATCTGAAAATGAAGGTACAAGAAAAGGAGACTCTCACGGAAACCTCCCCAGCAGCTCTAACCAATGCCTTTGAGGATATGAACCTGCGGGAAGAGAATGAACAGGTTTCCGGTGCATCATCATCTGTCAGCTTATGCATGGACCCTTTAAAAGGCCGCTGTCTGATTGCCACAAAGGATATTCCTCCAGGAGAGCTCCTGGTGAAGGAGGATGCTTTCGTTTGTGTCCTTAACCCAGGAGAAATGCCACCACTGCATTGTGGCCTGGAGAGCAAATGGGATACCAGAGTTACCAATGGGGATCTCTACTGTCACCGGTGTTTAAAGCACACTTTGGCCACGGTTCCCTGTGATGGATGCAGCTATGCCAAGTATTGCAGCCAAGAGTGTATGCAGCAGGCCTGGGATCTCTACCATAGTATAGAGTGTCCTCTAGGGGGGCTGCTTCTCACACTGGGGGTCTTTTGCCACATTGCCCTGAGGTCAACCCTTTTAGCTAGATTTGAGGATGGTGGCAAAGTCATAAGACAGCTTTGTGGTGAGATTAGTAACAAGGACATCTGTTTACCTGAAAGCAAAAATCTGGTGCAGACACTCAGTTCTCACCTGGGAGGGGAGGGTGAGAAAAATGGCAAAACTGCTGAGCCCCCAATTCCTGGATGTGATATTAATGGGAAGTATGAAAAGAATTATACTGCTGTCCTACACCTTGTGCCCCATACTAAAAACCACAGCCCAGAGTACAAATTCCTCTGTGCCCTCAGTGTGTCCGCACTGTGCAGGCAGCTGGAAGCAGCCAGTTTGCAGGTCCTCACAACAAGCCTGAAATGCTCTCAGGCCAAAGCAGCAGTGGTTCCTGGGAGGTGTGAAGAGTTGCACATCTGGGGAGTGGCCATGCTGAGACACATGTTACAGCTACAGTGCAATGCTCAGGCGATAACTACCGTACAGCAAATAGGTAAGAGGGGAACTTTTCTGCCTTACAGAATTGTTCTTTTTTTTTTCTTTTCAGTCCTTACCCGAGGACATGCTTAGGGAAGAGATGGGGAGAGAGGGAGAAAATAAACATCGATGTGAGAGAGTACCGTCTCTTGGTTGCCTTCTGGGGATCAAACCCTCAAACCAGGTATGTGCCCTGACCGGAAATCAAACTGGCAACCTTTCGGTGCACAGGACGCTACTCCAACTAACTGAGCCACTCCGGCTAGGCACAGCGTTGTTCTTGATGTTGCTAACGTTTGGGGAGAAAGAACCATAAAGAAACATATCAGGTAGTTTCATGGGAAAACACAGTTGTCTTGTATTATCATGAGTATGCCATTGAAAAGCTATGTGACCTTAACAAATTATTTGATCCCACTCTGCCTCAGTTTTCTCATCTTTAAAGTGGGTAGTTTATCCCACATAACTTTCCATAGTTGTAAAGATGATATGTTTATTTGTAAAAATACTTTGAAGTTAAATACCCTATTACCCTATTAATTTTTTATTGTGAAGGAAAACTGAAACAATTGTTAAAAAAGACTGCAGAGAAAACAGGGTCTATAGTTAAGGTATCAGAATCTTAGCTCACTCATATAACTCAGGTACTCTGTCTCTGCTCTTTCCAACTGACAAATTGTTCTCATTCATCTGTTTAAAATTTCTAAGAGAGGAATCTGGCCGAGCACAACTTTTCACACAATGCTAACTTAAGCTGTTGGTCGGCCCATGTTTGGGCTGTCCTCTGGTCATGTGGCCAAGAATCTAGGGGCCACTTCTAGACACAGCCCAGCCCAGCCCTGCTTTTCTGAACCAGTATAAATAAGGCTGTTTAAGGTAGGTGGAGAGGTTGGATTTGCCCAGCATCATGAGTGACATCTCTAATATGAATGTACTGACAACAGATCTATTATTGCAAAAGACATGCTTTTTCCCATATTTCTAGCATATGATCTCCATTTTAGCAGATAATGCCTTTAGATTCAATCAGTTCATTATTTTTCTGCATTTTCTGATTAACTATGGAGGGGAGAAATTAGATTTTAACCAAACCTAGGATTTATAGACAGATTAATATTAAATGTGGCTTAGCTAAACTAAATACCCTTAGCTCTTTAATCTTCTCATATTAGGTAATGTAGAATTTTGTCAACCTTTTGTTTATAGAGTTTTATCTTTAATTTTAATTCAGCTGTCAAGTTATGTGATATATAGGTATTTCACTAGAAGTGTCTTGGGGCAAGACTCTCTTCCCCATCCTGTAGCACATGGACATCCAATAATAGCACTGGGTTCATCCCATGGTACTACAAAATCACATTGCAAACTAATCTCCATTTTCTCTTCTGCCTTCTTTTGCTTCTTTGAGCCGCTGCTACCTTCTAAAATACATCTGTTCAGCGTTTTCCCAGAATTATGTTTTCCCTTGGGTACATTGACTAGCATTTTAAAAAATATTGTTTTCATTTTGGTTTGTTTTTCTGAATATAAAAAATAATATATGGGCTTCCAGATTATACTGGCAGAAAGTAACCAACTCTTTTTTTTAATATGTTTTTATTGATTTTAGAGAGAGAGGAAGGGAGAAGGAGAGAGAAACATTGATCGGCTGCCTCCTGCACGCCCTCTACTAGGGATGGAGCTGCAGCTGGGACATGTGCCCTGACCAGGAATTGAACTGGTACATGGGATGATGCTACTGAGCCACTTGACCAGGGCTCAAATAATTTTTATGTGAACATTTTTAAGGTACTTGATACATATCACTAAATTGCCCTCCAGAAAAGTTCTACCAGTTACGCACCCACCAACAATGTTCAGTTTCATTTTGGAAGTCAATCAGATTTTGTTTTAGTCTGCTCATATTTCTGAACTTGTTATATCCCTTTTTATTATTTCTTTGGGGTTCTAGCACGTCCCAATTTAGTGTTCTCATTGAATTTCATTAGCAGCTGTTTCATTAGTAGCACAGAAGAAGGATTGAAGTGTTAACTAGGATAGACTTTGACAAAAACCTACAAAAAGGTATGTTTTTATCTTTGCATAAATCCTATTTAATCAAAGTTCCTCAGAAATCTCTCTTTGATACTTAAGAGTGAGTACTGACCACTGATGATATTCTAGACCTTGAGATGTGTGGTTCTATCTCAGTGGGAATGGCACATTGGTGATGTAGCTGAATTCACGTCATAATAAGGCTCAATGAGATTCTGTGTAGATTCGGATCAATTCACTGCCCTTTGCTTCCACCCTTCAACAACCAAGGAATCTGCCTTCAGTTGGGATCCTTGATTACTTGATATACACACAGATTTCTTATTTTGTAAAATATCTACCAAAATAAGTGTATACTTAGAAATACTGTGAATGAATTTTTTGTCTTTACTTGAATTCCATTTTAAAGGCACTAGGGCCCTGGCTGGTGTGGCTCGGTTGGTTGGGCATCGTCCCGGGCACCGGAAGGTTGCCGTTTGATTCTCCATCAGGGCATATGCCCAGGTTGTGGGCTCAGTCCCCAATGGGTCGTGCAGGAGGCAGAAGATCGATGTTATGCTCCCATATCCATGTTTCTCTCTTCTCCTTTCCTCTTACTCTAAAAATCAATAAACTATTCTTTAAAAAAATAATAATAAAAATAAATGCACTAGGGATATTAGCAAGGTACACTTTGGTAAAATAAAGAATCGTTCTCTTTTTCTTTTATGCACAAAATGTCACATATTCAATTTGGTTGATAAGGTACATACATATTCTCACTTTCTATTATCTACTAAGAGATGACTAATGCAAAATATTGAATAATTTTTTAAAAAATCAATACTTAATTTTTTAGAAATAATTAGAGAGAGACTCAACTCTGACATAAATACTCACCCCACTCAGTTCCTGGGCCTGCTTCTCTTAGAGGCTAACCTATAAATAATTCATGAAGCTGACATTACTCACTGTATTGTGATCATTTTTTCTGGGAAAATCTTAGCAGCTGTTCTAATATAGATTGCCAGTTATCAGTAGTTGGGAATGCAAGTCAACTTTTAATTATGCAGAGGCCGATTATTCAGACCACAAACTGTTCGTGCCCTGCACTGCTCCTTCCTGCTGCCTACATTTTAGCATTTTCACTGCTCATTAGCACATCTACTAGAAGGGAGGCATTGGACTAGGGGGAGGAGGGGAAACTAAAATCTGTTAAGCACTTAGGAGAAGCTCTGATGAAAGATTTCAATACAATTTATAGAACTGTTGACTAAAATTGAATCATTTGGATTCTCTGTGAATTTTATTTGTTCTTTTCTTGTCCTCCATAGCAACAGATAATAGAATTGTCTGCAGAGAGACAACATTATACCTATAGTTCATGATTTCCTTTCTAGAGCATTTTCACATGATGATTCATATTTGCTCTATTTATTACATTTGTACCTAGACTACTTTATTTATTTGGAGATTGGTATATTGAGATTCCTGGCATATACAGTGATACCACAGTTATCTCATGGTTTTTCAGTTTTCCAGAAAACTGAAAGTTTCCCTTTAAGTACCAGTGTCTTTCATGTGTCAACGGGTTTTCTTAGAAATGCGATTTTCTCATACCTAAACCAAGGCCACCGAACGCAATTTAAGCGTTTCCGGGCGCCCAGCTTGTCTGTGTGCTGCGCCTGTTGCTGAGATATGTGCGGCCATCACGAAAGCCCGCGCGGGCACTGGCAGCCCAGCAACCCCAGTTAAGCGAAACGCACGTGGTACAGCTCAGGTGGTGCAGTGGTTTTGTTTGCCCTGCGGCTGTTATTCTTGTCTAGGTTTTCTGCCTCCTCTAGTCTGTCACCTGTCTCTTTGGTCATTGTCAGAACCTGCCTCCTGCTAGTTCTCTGTTTCTGGACCGTTGCGGGCCGGTTAGAACTGTGGCTAAAATACGAGCAAGGAGGCCCGCTCTGGAGTACAGGGGACTCACCTATGAGTCCAGGCGCACGAGCTCTGGCGCGGAAATAGCCTCGCTGCTTGGAGGCCTTTTTCTTCCTTCCTAATCTTCAATCATGCAGTTAAAGAGCTGGCTAATTGTATTTCAAAGAAGATATAGTTTAAAAAAAAAAGACGTTGTTTGGGACATGAGACTATCTTTAATAGAGCTAGTCTAGAATTTTTTTCAATGAGAACGACTGCTGACTGATGTACCCTAATGTTGGGACAAAGGGCAGAATGAACAGGAGAACATAAGAACTATGGATTTTAAAAAATATAAGCCTGTTTAGTTTCGGATAGAAATTAGGTTACTTGTTCTATTAAGCAACCAAAAGACCCAAAGAGCAGTTAAGCAAAAGCACTAAGACTATAAAAATCTTTGGGAACTAAACTCAGCAGGTACTGTAGTTTCTGTGTCCTCATGAACATCACGAAGGTGTCTACCTAGAAAGCTCCCTACTGATAATTCCTTTTTTATTATTTTTTATAAACTCTAATCTTTGTGGGGTTTGTGGTATGGAGACACAATGGCTAGGTTCCAGGATTCTGGCGGACTTTTCATGTGTTCATTTGCTTCGCTTCCTGGGGACCAGAGTTTGCTGTGAGTCATGTTCTATCCGATTGATATTGGATCCGGCTGTGGAGCTATGACTCAGAGGAGCGTCAGGCCCAGTTGCCCAGCTCATCTGAGGAATGGATGGCGATGCCAGGACTGATGTCCTGACACATTTTCCTTTTTCCTGTTGGACTTTCAGAACCTAAAGAGAACATCATTACCGAGAGCAGGCAGGTACGCCTTGCCACAGGCATCTTCCCCGTTGTCAGCCTCCTGAACCATTCCTGCAGCCCCAACACCAGCGTGTCCTTCATGAGCACTGTTGCCGCCATTCGGGCCTCCCAGCAGATTGGAAAAGGGCAGGAGATTCTCCACTGTTACGGTGAGCCATCCCTCCTCACTGCTGTCTACCTCGTCCAGCAGAAAAGGAACTATACGTAGCAAAGCACTGGGCAGGTGTCCTCACGTGGCCAGTGATCGTTTCCTGGAAGAAACAGTGACTACTTAGGCAAAAAAGCAGGGAGCTTCTTACTGGGCACCGTTGTGTCTAAACTGTCATGCATGTCACCGCCTCATCCCCATAAACTTCCTATCCTGAAAATGGGCTGGAAACACCTTTTTGACTTTTTCTTCCTGTCCCTTCAACTTGGGTGCTTATTTTTATGTCTGGTTCCACAAATGTTTGAGTAAAGAGGACCTGTCACATAATGAATAATTGATGAGATTCTCTGCTAAGCTGAAGTTTTCAAAGTAGTGCCTCTCTCAAAAATAATAAAAATCAAAAATTAAAAAAGGAAGCAGTGCCTCTCTCTTGCTTTAAATATTGTCCAAGTGTCATCTCTCTGCAGGGCCTCACAAGAGCAGGATGGGTGTTGCTGAAAGGCAACAGAAGCTGAGGTCTCAGTATTTCTTTGACTGCAACTGCCTGGCTTGTCGGAATGAAAAGCACAGAGCCGCTGTAGGACCCAGATGGGCGGCGTTCCGCTGTAACAGCTGCAGAGAGCTCATGCAGGTGAACCCTTCCTCTCAGCTTCTCCTGGAGGTCAGTTATCCAGCCCAAAGGCCATAAACCTGTAAGAGGAAGCCGCCGGGGCTTACAGGTGCTGAGAGCAGTACTCTCTCTTCCCTTTCAGCCCATCTTCCCCCCACATTGATTACCACCCCTTCTCCCCCTTCGCAGGAACCACAGTGAAAGGTTGGATTTATTAATCTTACAAGAAAGAAATTGGCAAGAGCAAATAACAGAAAATCCCACCTAAACTGGCTTAAGGGGGTAGGGGGAAGACTGAGAATTTATTTGCTCAAGTAAATCAGTAAAAGGTCCCAGGGTAGAGGCACTTCAGATACATCTTGATCCAGGGGCTTAGGTAATGCCATCAAGACCCAATTTTTCTCTCAGCCTCCCTCAGCTCCATTTTCTTTGTTAGCCCCATCCTCAGGCAGACTTCCCTCTTGAGGTGGCAAGATGACCAAAAACAGGCTCTGGTCTAACAGCTGTCTGGACAAAAAAATTTTTTCAGTTTCATTGACCCGATTCCTGTGGCTGGAGGAAAATCAGAGTCAAATAATTTTCCTCCAGTCATTTGGGCCAGAGGAATGGGCCAGATCTGAGCCACGTGCACACCCCCTCAGCTGCCAGGCGCTGACCATGGGAGGGTGGGAGAGGATCCTCAGAGAGGTCAGGTTGCCGTTGCCAAATGAGGGCATAGGTACTGGCATCCAAAGAACAGCAGATGTTCACCTCAGAGACTTTCTCCTCTGCCAGAGGCTACCGTGTTGTTAGGGGAACCATGAGTGGAATAGAGAACTGGCTAAAGTCACAAACCCAAGGTTAAATGTAGGGAGGCCTCACCTAGCACCTTTTGCTGGTTTTCTTACGGCTTTTTTATAACTACTACAAATGTGTCTGTCGTCCAAAGTGCTAGCCCCAAAGAGAGATGAGAGAGGGGCTGTCAAGAAAGGAAGAAATTGTGGATTGTACCAGTTTAATTTTAGTTGTAAAAATTAAATCTTGAGGAGGGTGGAATTGGTTCCTGCTTTCATTAGAATTGCTGCTGTCAAACCAAATTCAGTCAGGCTTCGGTCACGGTGTATTACTGCAGGAGTCTCTCTCCCCCATGGGGTCAGAAGCCATGGAGCGATCCTGTCGTGTAAGCACGTGAGGGGTTGCTGACCAACTCTGATTTAGGAATAAAGCCCAAGCTGACTTCCACAGGGAGATGATGTGCTGAGCTGTAGCGGTGCATCCTGTACGGAATCAGCGAGCAGGGACCACCTAGTCTCTCGGTTACAGGACGTTCAGCAGCAGGTCGGGATGGCCCAGAAGCTTCTCGGGAGTGGCAAACTAGGTGAGACTGGGTCCCTGCTTTGGTCCTCCAGCCCCTTCCTTTTCATTCAGTCTGAGATCACGACTCAGGATACTCAGTAATGATTGAAGAATTGCATTTAATTATCCCCAGGCCAGCCACAAGATGGCTGTGTAGGCCAAGGAGACCAAACCCTAACCAATTCAATTTGTGTGGTCCTGGAAAAGGGGCCAGATGATTTAAACTGCAGTTCTCTTATGTATCAGATGGCTAAGTTCAAGTATCCCATGGAAACCAAAGAGTTATCCCTGACATCCATGATCTTTGTGCATATTCCAGAGGTTCAGTGTCATTTTCATTCCAGGCCCTAATGACCTAATTTCCTAGAGAGATTGTTCTGCCTTCATCAGAGCCTCATCTCTCTTCTAAGACCAGTGGGGCCAGTGCCCAGTAGATATGTGTCCTGCTTTTTTCAGAGAGGGAGTTGTGGAACTCCTCGTTACCCTTGAAAACTCTGCCTTAGAGCTCGATGTCATGGGAATTTATTTACCCTGCTTTATGAACCTTGACCTTCCGCTTAGATTTCTGAGTCAGGAGAAATAATGACTGTAAGGGAAATGTGTTCCACTTTAAACTGAAGCTGGAAACCCAGAGTAAATGTGAGGAGGCCTCACCCAGCACCCTTTTCTATTGTGAAAGAGAAAAGAGAACAGCAGCTTTATTGGAACAAACATTGTGGGTTGGTCACAGGGAGACAAAGTGGGATTTCCACATTTAGTCCAGCTAATGGAGAATTTAAGGGCTGGGTTTGTGTCTGTAATGAGGTCGCTTCCCTTTGAATTGATAGAGCGAGCCATTCAGCTGTTGCTGGGGTGCCAGCGTGATGCTGAGAGCTTCCTGTCCACAGAACACAGCGTGGTGGGAGAAATCGAGGATGGCCTGGCCCAGGCCTATGCTGCTTTAGGTATGGCATGTGTCTTTGTTTTCTGCTCCAGGAAACAAGTTTGCCTGGTACATTTGGTCATGACCCTAGCTTCATCTGGTTCATTATCTCTCAGCCTTTCAACTGAGGCTGCTGTCCCTTCCATTTAGCTTTTCTCAACCCAAAAATGTTCATCCACAGTTGATTGTAGTTCTTTTCTGGAACACATTTTTATTTCTTCTCAGGGGACTGGCAAAAGTCAGCTACCCATCTGCAGAAGAGTCTCCGAGTGGTTGAGGTTCGCCATGGGCCATCCAGTGTTGAAATGGGCCATGAGCTCTTCAAACTGGCCCAGATCTTTTTCAATGGGTAAGTCTTTCTCTTATTTCCTAGCACGTGACCAGGCCACATACTGTTCTCCTGTGTATTACTTTTTTCCTGTGGTGCTTTTCAGCATGTTGAAACTTCTTTATTTCCCCTTTAGGAAAGATCCTGTCCTTCTGTTTTGTTGATTACGTTGAAGCTTTAGAATTTTCTCCTGAGAGATACGAGGAAAGCTCTTAGCTCTGAGGGAGTTTCCTAGGGAGAACTGCCAAGCAGCCCCACCACCCACCAGAGCCGTTCTTCTCAGTCCTCCCTGGTTACTCACACCTCCCTGGTGCTCTCATTCCATTCCTCAGCTCCAGGGGCTCTTCCTCTCCTTAGATCTACCCTTTTTAAAGCAGTTGTTTTCAACCGGCAATAACTTCCCAGGAGGCATTTGGCAGTGTCTGGAGACACTCTGCATTGTCATGACTCAGAGTGGAGGTCCAAGTTGCTGCTAAACATGCTGTACATGCACAGAGCAGTCCCTACAGCCAAGCGTTACCCAGCTTTTGAACGGCAGGTAGACAATTCCCAAGGCACAGAGCAGTCCATTTGGTCAGAGAGAGAGAAAAGGGCTGCAGACTTGTCGTGGGTAGACGTGGTTACTCTCAGATGAAGACTCCTGAGTAAACCTTGGGGTAACTATCAGCTTAGTGCTTTGAGGTTTGCCTATTTCTCAGGATCCTAGACTCTTTATACTTTTTTGTGTGTGTATTACTTTGTCCTCCAACTCTGCCTTGCGTGTGTTTGTGAAAGTTGTCTTATCTGCCCTCTTGGATTATAACATCCTTGAGGGCAAAAATGATCTTTATATTCTTCACAGGGGTGAGTAGGCCCCCAATAATTGTTTGCTTGATTGAGTGAGTGGAGTGACTCCCCTCACCTCCTTTGGTTCAGGTTTGCTGTACCCGAAGCTCTGAACACAATTCAAAAGGCAGAAAAGGTTCTACTGGTGCACTACGGCCCTTGGAACGAGGAGATCCAGGAGCTACAAAAGATGAAATCCTGTTTATTGGACTTGCCACCCAGCCCTGTGGCGCCTTCTGTGTAGGGTCCCAAGGGGACTTTGACCCATAGGAAAGGAGCCTTGGAAGATGAGTTAAAGAGGTTCTGTTGCCACTGAGCTGTCACCAGGAAATGCAGGACTTGCTTGACAGGCGCAAGCCTAGTGTATGAGGCGTGGGGAGGACTTGGAAGTCATTGTAGTTGGAGAGATGCTCACCTAGTTTGATGAATGTTTCTTGAAATTGTTAACCGCCCTCCAGTAAAAACTCCCAGTTCCCAGAAAAGACTTTAAAACTAGTATCTGGAGAGCCTAAGCCCTTTAAAAGGATTTTAGCTGATCCGCAGGCATCCGGATGTTGGCCTGGGGTTTTGGCTAGATGCCACCTCACTAAATGACGGCAGTCTGTTTCCTTGGAACATTCCTATGGTTTCTAGTAGTAATGAAATGTTGTGTACCACTCCAGCGGGAACTTAAACTCCTAGTAGTTGTATTGTAATTGAAAAATAATTATAAAGCAAGAAATCAGTGAGGCTCCTTATCTCTAGAGACAGTTTCACTTATGGTATCTAGCTTCCTCAAATCCTTTGTTAAAACCGGTGGAGTATAAATTGTGAACAGAGAAATAAATATGGGGCATTTTCTACCAGTTTTCCAGGCCTTATTATCTGGCTTTCATTCTATACTCGGCAGATTCACTGACCAAATACTAATAAAATCAGGCTTATAGCAATGACTTTGTATCACGTGTGCCTCCTGAGTTGTTTATTAGCAAGCCTGAAAAGAGATGACTTTTTTTTTTTTCTACCAGACCTCCCCAAGCTGGCAAATGAAATACAGACTACATAAGTACTGAGAAGGGGGGGGGGGACACTTCAGAAGATGCTGAAGGTATGAGCATTACTGCTTGTGGTTTCAAACTTAACAGACAGAGGTAGGGTCCTAGCCAGTGTGGCTCAGTTGGTTGGGCGTGTTCCTGTGCCGGAAAAGGTTGCCCGTTCGATTCCTGGTCAGGGCACATGCCCGGCTCAGTCCCCGGGGAGGGGGCCTGCAGGAGGCAGCTGGTCGTGTTTAGCTCTCTCACACCGATGTTTCTCTCTCCCCCTCTCCCTTCCTCTCTCTCAAAATCAATAAAAATTAAAAAAAAAAAAAGAAGTAGAGGTGATAACTCTTTTCTACCTGGATATGTAGCAGTGGTCTAGACCTTGCCTGGTCAGAAGGCTAGGGACTCTGGGTCTGAACCCCAGAGGCTGTTTCACTACTACTGGCCAAGTGGTTCAGATGAGTGAGTGGGAAAGAATGCCAGGCCCACACTGCTTTGAAAGCTTGCTCACCCTGGCCATGCCCGAGAAGTGCCCATGGGTTGCCACAGCATTATAACCTGGAAATGAGTAGCCCTGAAGATGCCTGGCAGAAGCTTTTGCAGAAGCTGAGTATTTGGAACACGGTTCGCACTGAAAGATTTGAATGAAGGGCAGGCAGAACATATTTCTTTCTTTTTTACTAACTCTGGCAAGGCAGTGGCCAGTGAGATTTTTTGGTAGAGCTAACTTTTTCAAGAAGGAAAATTTAGTCCTGTGGACAATGTTTTAAACACTCGGCATGTTTCATATTCCTGAAAAAGGTCCTGTTGTACTTTGTAAATAGGCATACTTCCTTAAAAAGAATACGTTTAGAATTTTTACATCGGGTCCCATTTTTATGTGTACTTGGGAGCTTTCTTTAAATGCTTTGTAAAATAGCCCTGGCCGGTGTGGCTCAGTTGGTTGGAGCATCACCTCATGCACCGAAGGGTTGCGGGTTCAATTCCCAATCAGGGCATATACCTAGGTTATGGGTTCAATCCCCAGTCAGGGTACATATAGGAGGCAGCTGATCAATCTCTCTCTCTCTCTGCCCCTGTTCCTCCCCTTCCTCTCTCTAAAACTCAGTAAGCATATCCTCGGGTAAGGATTAAAAAAGAAAACTAGAGTCAGTTTATTTAAGATTATGGAGCCAGGAAATGCCCTCCTGGGGGCATTAGTGGTCCTAGTATGTAAACATCCAGAGCAGAGGATCAGTCTCTGCCTTATACAATGCAGATAACTAAAAGTTCTTATAAATGGTGACTTTCTGCAGAGTTTAGATAGACCCAGGCTAGAAATGCAGGACCACAAAATTCCTAAAGAGCTATTTATTTTCATATTAAACTTAATATAGCTCAAAATAGGAGGGGGGATAGGGTAACAAAAGTTAAGGATAAAGCACTTTTATTGCAAAGTATACATTGAAACATTATAGGGACAGCCTTCATGTAATGTATAATCTGCCATCCCTCTAGGGTTTTTAAACATCAAACTGGAGCATTAAGTGCCCCTGGGGTCCAGAATTTTGCCTATGAAGAGAAGGGCCCCTGTGTCCGTGTCCCTCAGTACAAAGATGAAAGGCTGGTTAAGGTGGTAGTCCAGGGGGAAGGTGAGGCGGGCAGGCTGGAGCCCTGGGCTGGGGGTGGCGCCTGCTCCGTCCTCATTCCACTCGAAGCCAGCTCGATGTTCCACTTGAGTAAGTTTGATAGATTTGCCCGTGATCTTGCTAAAGTCTGGTGAATCGAACAAGGATTGCAGCTCTGCAGAGATTGAGAGAGATTTCCATTAAAACCCTGTCTTAGCCAACACCCAAGGAAGAATACAGCCCTAATTCCTAAATCCTGATTCAAGGAGGTAAGCAAGCTGGGAGTGGAACACCGCTCTTGACCTTTTGTGAGGTACACAAGGCTCCAGTTAAAAGTTGAGTGATTTGCCCAAGAGCACACAGCAATTGAGGTTAAGATTAGAAACCAGATCAACAGACCTGTCCGGATAGGCAGGGTTCTGAGTGCCTGTTATAGGGATGTGTCATCGTGGGGCTGAGGAATGAGTCTGATAAGGTGGTTCATTCTTCTCCTCCAGAACTATGTATGAGAATTAAGGAATCATCCATGGCCTCCCTACAAAGGCCTGGAGCCTTTGAGTCCTGCTTAGCGAGAGGGAAGGCTCAGAACTCAACCCCACCCACCCCGAGAGCAGAGGAGCCTTGCGGACATACTCATCTCCTGCAGGGACTTAGTGACTTCGCCTTCATAACTCAGCTTCAGCTTGGGGATGGTCAGGACCGCTTGGACAGTCTTCAGTTCTCGGTCTATGTCATGAATGAACTCAGAGGTGAGGCTCTCTTCTATCATGGTCAAGTTCTGGGTCACTTTCAGAGGCAGGAAGAAGATGATACTCATGCTTCCAGTCAAGGGCAGCTGGGCAATCTGGAACAACAGGGAGGAGGCCACATGGGTTAGTCCTTCAGAGCCTAGGAGCCTGGAGATAGACATGCGCACACATCAGTTGCCTTCTCTCCTATGGTTGGGCCCTGTCCCTGCTTTCCCCAGTGCCTGATCTATTTAATGGTTACTCCTCTAGGCTATTGCTTTCTGGCAGAAAGATATTTACTAATGTTCGTTCAAAAAGTTGACTTGTCTTTTCTTCCCTTGGCCTGATCCCACCTGAAGTTAATCTGCTGAAAGAATTTTCTCCTGTGGTTCTAAGGAGCTAGAATTGTCTTCTCCCAAGGTTTATCTGCCAACAGTTACTGAATATCTGTTATATAGAGAGCCCTGGCGTAGAAATGGGGGCATTGAGCACAGCAACACAGAAGCAGCAATAAAATAGGTCCTTTGAGCGGAGGTTCTTAACCTAAGGTCCATGGGACAAATGGCATCCCAGGCCCCAGTAGCCCCTGAAATTATATACAGAAATGTGTGAGTGTGCATACATGGCATTTCTTTCAAGTATTTCAGGTGCTTTGTCAGATTCCCAGAGAAAAAGGTTAAGGACTACTGACTTAGAATTAAAAGCAGTCAGGTAGATGTGAAAGACTTAGAAGGTCAGCAGTTTGGAGTTTGTGACAGTTTTTGAAAGTTTGGCTTTGAATTCCAGAAATAAAAGTGCAGCACACAAAAAAGAAAAAGAAAGAAGGAAAGAAAAGACAAGAAAACGCCAACATTTGAGTATCTACTCTAGAGGGCCCCAATTTCACAATAAGGTAATTTCACATTACCTTATTAATTCTTATAAGCAACCCTGAGAGGGTAAGTTTCTCCCCACCTTTATTTTGGGTGGGGGGGAGGGGGAAGAAGCTG